AAGTAAAGTACCGAAGATATATAAAAAAGAATTAGAGGCATTATTAATGAAAATCCATTATCTTAAAAGAATATAAAGAAGAATATTTTATTAATTCAATAAGTCTTACAATAGAAGAGAGAAAAGCTTCTAGATCTATACCCGATATCTTCCGAAGACTCGATGACTAAGAAAACTATTCTATTCTACTCCACTAGCACTATAGTACTAAACTAAAATTGAGAGAGAGATCAAGAGCTTCTTGCTTGAGTGTGTGAAAGAGTGGAGAAGGTGTGGTCCATTTATAGGCAGGTAATGACGGTTGGGCTGATGCGAATTGTCGAAAATACCCTCCAACCGCTACCAAGACATCATCTATAGAATCCATGCCAAACCCCAGCATTGACAGCTGTTGGTATTTCTTACGACCACGGATAAATCCGCAAGCGCACGGAAAACCGCTGTAGCACTTCACCTTTGGGTGACCCCAAAAGGATATCGAACTCAGGAAACGTGTGTAATCTACCTAAGGTTAAGACTATCCAAGAACAACTAAAGGTAGGCTAGCTAGGCTAGAGAGGACTTTCTGTGACTTTCTAAGCTAAGTTGAAGGTAACTCCCTATATGTTGCTTCGGGCACCGACCCCTGCTGGTCTGCCGATGTGGTTTCGGCTACAGCTCTATGATGTATCCGAACGTGGAGGATTACTAGGACGGGATCCAAGGCTATCACCAGCTGTCGTCTACCTCTAACAAATCCATTGGATACACAACAAATAAAGGTAATCTCTAACCTAGACACCACGTCTAAGTTTTTAATTATTACTCTAATACTTGCGCATGAACTTTCTTCTTTATCCATAGTCGTAGTACTATAGCACTTAGTACGAATACTAAATAATGAACCCGCAACGATGGAAATCTATCTCACTTAGACTAAGAAATTAAATAACATAAGAAATATCCCGAATGCTTACTTAATAGAAGAAGTTTGTCCGAACTCGGAGCAGAGTGTACCGACAGCTCCGGTACTCCTCCAGAATTCCTGCTAGGAAGCTACACTCGTCGAGGTAGAAGTCGGAGAGAGCGCCAAACTTCCAGGCACTCCTCCAGAGCTTCCCCTCATCTTCTACCTATTTCTTATGTACAAAAGATACAATAGAGCCTCTTGTAATTATTATTTGTTGAATACTACAGGTATCGTTGTGGGATATGAACCGACACCTTAAATCTCTATAGGTGTCGGTTATGCCCGGGGGCAAAGGCGCCAACAAATTGTTGCCAGCTTGGAAACTGACTCCTGAGACCTGTTCCCAAACGGGACCTATGAGGGTTGCTGCATTAGTGATATCATTTTTTTTTACAATTATTCCTTAGTATATTACACAATGCATGGGCATAAGTAAATTAGATGTATAATCTAACCCATGTTAACTCGTATATTTGCGAAGGATGGTGAGGCGAGTTTATATATGAACAGTAAATAAATTGTCCCCCTTTTTCGGTGGGATTGCTTCCTAGTTAAACTAACAAAACACTAATTGAGAGTATAAAAATGATATTGTATCATATTTGTTAATTAAGAATTTTGTAATTGTTAAATTAGATTCCACACTTTTTCAGATTTCGTGACTGTTTTGGTGATCTATCGTGACGGTAATTTGCTTCTAGGTACATATAGTTAGATAGTTTGAAGGACTTTTTTTTTTGCAATATTCCAACTTGATGTTGGGGGGTAACTCTGTAGAGGAACGGTCCATTATGACTTGGAACTACACTCGAATTCCGATTTTCACTGTGTGCCCTAGATTCTTTGTTTTTTGATGATATGTGTCTATATTTTCCCAAACAAGGATTAAAGGAATGCATGTTCTGCTGATGATCCAACCCCAGGATGACTTGCCACACATTGGATGTGTTGTTCTCTAGTCTACTACTTAGTATATATCGACGTGCACGCTCACTAGTTATACTGAATAGCACGACAAGATAGACACTCAGATTGGTATTGCAGTGCATAGAAACAAAGCAGAATAAAGTGAAATAACTGATTAAATTAATTCGTGTGTTCCTCGTACATATGTAAATTGCCCAGACTTACCATAGGTTTTATTCCAGCCATAACAGTGTACACGTCCTACTATTCGTATCACTTATTGTTGATCACCTCCAAAAGATTAATATACACCGGTGGAGAAACCATCTTTGATCGGTCGACCAGATTTTACAATAGTCCCGGTTGTATTAAAAACCGGAACTAAAAATATCTTTAATCCCAGTTTAAAAGCTACAGGGTACTTTTCAATCTTTAGTACCGGTTGGTATTACCAACCGGGACTAAAGATCTATTTGTAGTCTCTGTTGATAACACCAACCGGGAAAAAAGATCGCCATACGCTTTACTCCTGGTTGGTAACACCGTTACCAGAACTAAAGATCTATTGATAGTCCGGTTGGTAAAACCAACCAGAAAAAAAGTTCGATGCGGAGATCGGAGAGATGTGCGCGATCGGATCGAGGTATCTCCTCCTCTCCTTTGACTCCTCTCTCCTCCTCTCCTCAACCCTATCTCCTCCTCTCATTTTTAACTCCTCTCCTCAACCTTATCTATTCTTCTTCTTATCTCTATTCCTCTCCTCCTCTCTACTGCCAGGCCGGCACGAGGGCGGCGGGGCGCGGAGGGCCGGCCGGCGCAGCGGCGGCTGGCGGCCGCGCGGCGGCGGGGCGTGGTGGGCTGGCCGGCTGGCTCAGCGGCGGCGCGGCGCGCGGTGAGGCGGCGGCCTGTGGCAGCGGCTGGCGGGGCGCGGAGGGCCGGCTGGCCGGCGCAAAGCGGCGCACAGCGAGGCAACAGCTTTCTCTCTTTTTTTTTGAGAATCTGAGATTGTTGTGTGATGTATTTGATTCGATCTGAGATGTTGTGTGATGTATTTGATTTGTGTGTGATGTGAATATGTGATGAATTTTGTAAAAGTTGTGATGTAATTTTTTTTAAGATTTTGTGATGTACTTGAGTATTTGAGATGATCGATTTGTGGATTTGGAGGCAATTTGAGGATGATTGATTTGGGATTTTGGGGACGGGATGGGGTGAAATCAATATATTTAAAAATAATGAAGAAAAGAAAAGAATAAAGAGGAACCGGAAAGAGCAATCGGATTAGCCTCTTTAGTCCCGGTTGGTCTAAAGATAAATTAGTGTTACCAACCAGGACTAAAAATGGATTTTTACTCCCGGTTTTTTCACCCGAGACTAAAAATAACGATCTTTAGTCCGGATTCGTAGTCGGTTACGAACCGGGAGTAATAACCCTTTCTCCACCAGCGATACTCCTTTCTCCACCAGTGATACTACGACAATTAGTCTTAGTAAGGAGTTCTTTATACTTGTTCAGCAGCATAGCGGCTTTCTAATAAAGCCATCAGTGATCAATGAGACCTTTGCCACCCAAAGGTACTACTGTCAGTTTAGGAATTATTATTAGTTGCTTGCATTATGGCTGAGCACGATTAACATTATTGTTGTTTAGAGCATGATTAGCAATTGCAATAATTAAATTATGGAGAATGTAATATCGCTTAACAATTTACTCGGATTTATGACGCATTGTCAATTCTGAATCCTACCAAATCAAAGAAGGAAGAATTTTACAGCTTTCGTTCAAAATGCAGAATCCAACCAAATAAAAGAAAAACCAACCCAATCACCTGGCTGCCTGCTGACGATCTGGATGGGGATGCTGCTCTTGTAGGCGGTGATCCGTGGTGGCCGATGCATCATCGCGGGTGATTGTGATGCCGACAGGGCCGGGAGCGAAATCGACGTCCACGACCGTGACGCCGATCTTGGGAGCGATACGATCTGGGTGACGCGCGATGTGCAACGGAGTTCGGGTGTTGAAGATCGATGATGGTGGAGGTTGCTAGGAGGATTCGTGGGGAGGAGAGAAGGTTTTTTGTTTTTTCCTTTGAACGTACTAATTTAGAATTTTGGTAACCGTCTTTCGCAGGAGCGCGCGGAGCGAGAGCAGGCGTGCAATCCCTAATCCCTCTGTTAATCCAACTTGCGATGTGAGCATTTGAACTTTTTCATGTTTTATATTAGAGTAAATTTTACAAAATTACACGTTTTGTGGTTCAAGTTGCAGAAAACCACTCACACTTTGACACTTGTCAGTTAAGTACATATATTTTGGTTGTGTAGTTTCACAAAACCATACTATCGATGAATGAATTCACCGCGAGATGACGTGGATGTTTCACCTAGGATGAGGACATAGCATCCTATTACCAGCCATCGCACGAAATTAATAGGATGCCACATCCTCATCCTAATGGAACAACCACGTCATCTCACGGGTGAATCCATTCATCGATAGTGTGGTTTTATGAAACTAAACTACCAAAATATATATACTTAAGTGCCAAGTGTCAAAATATGTGTGGTTTTCTGCATCTTGAACCATAAAACATATAGTTTTGTGAAATTTACTCTTTATATTGTTATATGTGCATTTCTCATGAAAGTTAACAACATAATAAACTAGACTAGTGGTAGGCATAACTGACAGAAATTGAAAAACAGGAAAATGAGAAGAAGAACAATCGAAATTGTTGGTTTGACCAAATGCCCACCCCTAACTGGAACAATAGGAGATTTTGATACATATTTATTTTTCCATTCTTGCAAAGAAAAAATATTTATTTTGCTACTGAAAAATTCTTTATTTTTCTCATCTGTTATATATTGCCTAATGTATATACCCAAATACGAACACGATGTTCTAGCATATAAGATTTCTTTTAGCAAAGTTTAAACTGCAAGCTTGTAGCCATCCTGCAAGAAGATTTGTTCAAATTGCTAATCCACCCTCGAGAATGGGCCAGGAAATTAGGTCAAAACCTTGGCCTTGCCCGTGGCCCGTGGGATGGGCAAGGATTTGGGCCTTGAAAAAGGTATGAAACACACAGTCATAGGCAAAAACATTATAAGTTATAACTCAAGCTTTGCAAGTGACAAATGATTAGTAACACAATTGGTTTGCCTTTTCATAATTATCTCGCTCCCTTGAGATGATATTGTTGCTGATAAGTGTTAAGCACACGTTCTCCTTTTTTTACATGAAGAAATTCATGTGTTTTCCTTTTTCTAAAGAAAAAACTTCTGAGCTGTAAATGGTGGTACCATTGCTGAATAGCAAATAACACCTTGTATGCAAATCTACATGCTGTGTGCTCATTCCTATGAAATATTAACAGAAACCAAAAAGGGATGAAACTTTTTCCCCCCTGTATTTCACTGTACAGCACAACAATGTCGTGCCGGTCACTTCCGAATCAACTAGTTGGTCGATGCCTTCTTCTACGTCTTGCTTTCAAAATTAAACTTGGTTGTTCTTGTTCAACTATAACCTCGAAGCTGTGGCTGCAGTGGAAACCTTTGGACTAGGATTCTGAACTAGCACCAGCAATGGCTGTGAAGGACAACCTGAGTTGTTATGAGAAGTTCTCTGCAATGGTGCAATGTGTTAGACTCATAGATTTTGGTACTAGTGCAGTAGAGCTGCAAGTATCAGTGGTTTTGGTAGTACAGTAGTGCCTACCACCCCGACGTGCCAATGGTCTGATACGAGGCCTTTGAAATCGGCTGCATCCATTTCCTGTGCGTCGTCACATTGACAGCATGGGAAATTGTCATACTTGTGCAGATTAGAAAATATTAAAGAAATACTACTAAGTAGCAAGATTATAGATTGTATAATTTTAGAACATGTTACTGAACTTACCACACTGTAAATAGGAGGCATAGCAATCTCCCAAGTTGATTTCATAAGGGGTACAACTGGAAGATGGAGTGATGCTTCAGGTATCCTGAAATTCCACCTAAAAATGGGAACAAGAACTGCGTCACATCTGCTTTGATCTGATTTGGTTGTTTTGCATTACTTTCTTCCATCTAGATTAAGAAATGATTTTGACTCACCCAATATACATGAATATGCAAAACTGTACCCATTCACGCACCAATACACGAAACCAGTAGTTATCTGGTGTACCATCAGCCCTCATGTACACCTAAAGGCACAGATGGCACTATTAGAATTCAGGAGCACTGCCAAACCAAACAGATCATAGCAGAACACAATGCCATAGTATGCATAAGTCATACCATGATGAATGCCACCAGTGCAACCTGCATTGTACCTTGAAATCTCCTGAAAAGGGGAAAAGATATGAATAAGGACATGACAATTTCTCAGAGTTTTGGTACTAAAATATTTTCAAGAATATGATGAAAAGGAAGATAGGAAATACAGAGTGGAGTAAAACTGCTTACTTGAACATTGTGTACTTTGTGTTCAGTGCCCCATGTAGTGAATGGATGTCTTCCTCCTCTATGAAATTCAGTTGTTCCCTTAGAAGCAAGAGGTTTTGGGATGTGCGGCGAAATATGATGTAAAATGACATAAAGTAGTTGATAAGAAGAAAGACCTGCACCAAACATGGGAAATCTCATAATATGCCGTACTCATGACTAATTCTAGAAGCCCAATGAGTCAAAATGAAAATAAAAAATAATGAAATGCTAAAAAACCTTTCAAAAAAGTAATTTTTAAAACTTCCAGTGAGGCCTTACTGTGAAATAAGTAACTGCAGCTTTGTAACCGATTAGACTGAGGTAGATAAGGCATCCCAAACAAGCGGTTGTGCGCCTCTCCCTGATCGAGAGGCGCTCGCACATGATGCAGTAACCGTGTGATATGAGCATGAACGAAACGAAGGAAGCCGTCTGGAAGAGAATCCCCGTAACGTACACGCCAAATGACATCCACAGCGAGCATGTCTGAAGGTGTATGCACGAGTACCTGGACATCAACCTAAAATTTCAGTACTAGAAAAGATTTGTCTGAACAGCTTTAGGGACTTGTTCGAACTCCGATCACTAGTATTCAGAGATCAAAGATTTAAGTTAACTTAAGTTCAGATTGCTCACCAGAACAGACATGAGAGCCCCATTTGGAGGGCTTTGATCAAGGGCAGCAAAGCCAGGATCCACTGAAGGTTATTTACCTGCTACAGGGAAACAAAATTGCTAAAAAACTAACATAATCAAACAGTTGAAACATGACTCTGAAACTGACACTACTAAAAAAGGGACATATAAGTCGGCACTATATGTGCCAGAATAGTAAAACCGGCACTTATAGTGCCTTTCCTGCCCATGTGCCCACCCACGCGTCCATCTACGAGCCAAAATGTCAAGAACCGACACCTTTATCCTCAAACATGTGCTAATTTTAAAAAAGAACCGACAACTATTACTGCTGAAGATGCCAGTTTTTAAAAACAATGACACCTATAATTTATTATAGGTGCCGGTTCTTTTAAAAAAAGATAATTACTCATTTGACCCTAATTTGAAACATAACTACCAATTCGACCCTATATTTTTATGTTTGATTATTTGACCCTGTTTTTCAAAACCGATGTTACCTCTGACCCTGCTTTCACTATACCATGGGTTTTTCATTTTTAAAAAACCAAAAAAAAAATATTTGCAAGCCTAAGTGACTAAAATGCCCCATGAATATATTAACCATGTCCTCCTACCACTCATTCACTCATTTCTTATCATCTGTCTCACCAGAGCACAAAGGGTGGGAGGAGCGACAGCGACAACGTCTCGGCAGTGGCGGCGCGACGAGGAGGACCACCGGCGGCGCGACGAGCAGGACCACCAGCGTCGGCAACTGCATCATCTGAGTTGGCTCAGCGGCGGAGGGGTGACGAAGACAGGAGGACCGCCGGCGGTGGCTGCTGCTAAGGAGGGACGCCGTCTCCGAGTTCGCTGTTACCCGCAGTGAGAAGGGTGGTGTGGCGTCAGATGAGTCATGGTAGAAGTGGTTTTTTAGGTTTTTGTTAAAACCGTTAAATGCCCTTAACAGAAGAGGGTCAGAGTATAGCTTCGTTTTTTTAAAAAGAGAATCAAATAAGCAAACTAACGAATCAGTAGTTAGATATTCAAATAAGATCAAATATGCAATTGCCACTTAAAAACCCCGGCGCCTGAAAAAAATCGACCGCGTCTTATCCAGTCCGCCCGTCCGTATCCCGACCGTGAGGATGCAACCCTCCCAACTCCCTTTCCTCTCGTCGTCCTTATCCCCTTTCCTCTCGCGATTCTCTCTCTCCCTCTCCTCCGGTCTTCCCCACCCGCGAGCACCGATGGCGCACCAGCGGCTGGACTGCCCGGATCCGGCGCCACTCCTCCGGCGGCCTCACATGGGGAGGGAGCTTCGGGGGGCCTCCCCACGGTGTGGGCTCGGCGGGAGGCCTCCACGGCGGCGTGACGGACGGTGCAGTGGGTGGCCTCTCCCGGCGGCGTGACCATGGAGGGGCGCAGCGGGTGGCCTCTGCTCTGCGGCGGGCGGCCAGATCGGGCTGGTGTGCTCGATGGCGGGAGGATTCACCACGGTGTGCTCTCTCTAGCTTCCTTCCTTGTTGATTTTTGATTTTGTAATTTCGGTCTCTCCGTGCTGTTATTGGGTGCATGGTGATGAGGTTGTGAGAAATTTGTTCTCGATTCTTGGTACATACATGGATGATGATGATGATGATGAATGTGCTTTTTCGTACTAGTGTGATACTAGCTGCCAGCAGTTTAGTAGAATTTTGGTGGAAGAATCATTGCTCTAAGGTCCCTATTCAATGACCAGTCATTCAAAATGAAGCCATAATCAGTCTTCTAAAAAAACCATAATCAAAAACTGCACACTACCATGCATACAACTGAAGAACAAGAGCACCATGCCACCAAACACATCACCCGAATTCAGGGCAAAACAAAACAAAACGGCAAAATGCAGGGACAATACCTGGAAATGCCGACTCCTCCAGGAGCTGGAGGCCCAGCAGAAGCCGGAGGCCGCCCATATCGCCAAGAACCCGAGGTACAGCCACGGGAGAGGCTGATAGGCGCTGCTCAACACCGGGAGAGGAGACGAAGCGTCCTGCATCATCCTCTTCTTCTTCTTCTTCTTCTTGTTGCACAGGTAAACCAAAACCCCTCTCAAATTTCGGTTGGAAGGGATCACAAAGTTCTCAATTGCTTGGATTTATGGACGGATTGACGAGAGATGCATGCGTCCATGCAGGACCAGAAGCTCATGGAGCAGTAGCCTGGATATAAAAACAGACTTGACTTTGTTATTTTTTCCCTTCTCTTTTGTGCATGTCTTGGACAGACGGTTCTAGTATTAGGTCTGGCATTTTTTTTGGGGGAAGTTCGTGCATGTGGCCGCTTTTTTTTCTCACCAGAAGCGTTATGGGGGAGTGTAGGAGTAGTTAGGGTTGTTGCTTGTTGGAGGGAAAATACGGGAGGCAAACGTGTTTCTTGATGAATTTAAAAGGTGACGAAGAAACTTTTTAAATTTATGGTGAGTCTCTTCTCGTGTTCCTTTTGACTTGTAGATGTATGTGAGTTTAAGCGTTTAATCAAGGCAGCATGAAACTAATATAAAGTAGTGTCTCGATCGACCACAAAGAAAATAATCCAGGAAAATGTTTAGTCCACATCTAAAAAAAACCTTTTATTATACAGAAAAGTGTTTACCTCATATTTAAAATAAGGATAATTTTACTATTCTTGAGAAAATACAGGGAGTTATGACATTTTACATATCCCTAGATTAGGTGCCTCGAGATACCAAAATTTTTAGTCTTGGTACCTCTAAGTACTTTCTTAAGAACTATAAAATTTTACCTAAATTAAAGTGTTCACCATATATCTTAAAAAAGTGTCTACCACATATGTAGAAAAGAGAAGTGCCTACTACATATCTGTTTATCACATGAAATACGGCCAAATGCATTGTATTTGCTAGTAGGTACTCCCTCTGTCCAATAATATAATGAATTTTAGAGAGTTGTGACAATTGACAGAGAGTTATCTAGATTCGTAATATTAGGATATGCTACATCTTATTAGAATCCGTTATATTATGGGATTGAGAGAGTGCAGAAGACTAGAAGAAAAATACACCAAAAAAAAGCACGAGAGAAAACCAGATAGGTGGGCATATCTGCGGACGCAGTAAGGGCAGTTCCAACCCATAACACTAGACATGGTGTTATCGAAACGACAACTGCATACGTCGAAAGACGTGGTTACTCAACAGTGGTTGAAAAAACGAAGTGTATTAAATTTTGAATTTCACTTGGGATCCCCCCATTACATGGCCCTAGGGGACTATTTATAGCCCCATTACAGGTTCTTACTACTAGGGTTTAGGTTGTACAGGGGAATTTACATGATTACCCTTACGAAAGGGACATTTACAGGGGTCCATAATGTTATAGGGGCTCATGGGCCCCTGATGGGCCGTCTGGCGATCGCCGGCCCTATAGCCCTTAGGCTTGATGGCCCGGAAAGGCTTCCTCGGCCATCGCGGGGGCGAACTTGCCATGGCGAAGTCGTCTTCCTTCGGCAGGTAGTCTTCGCCTTGCACCCTTCGCCTGAGACGCCTCTGGCCTAGCAAGGCACTCGTACGACTCTTCGCCTTACGCCGTTCTTGCTCCATAGCCTTCGCCACGGGTTTCGGCAGATTTAGTCGAAGGCCTCATGCTATCCGCCAACACATGGTTTCCATAAACTCCACATCATCAAGAAACTAGTACTAGACACTACTCTTACAATGCAAATACCACTATTCCATACTTCAATTTAATGTTACTTATCTCACATGATGTCTTGGATGTTGTGTCGGAACCATGTCTCATGCAAGACATGGTTTTCTTCTCTTTCCTCATTTAATGTTACAGAATTGACTAAAAACAATAATACAAATAATCAATTTAGAGCATTACGAATGTATAAGAAGTAACTTAGTCAAATCAAAAAGTAATTTATATATATGATAAAAGTAACTTACGTATATAATAAAAGTAATTTACAAACATAAATATTTTTTCGTCGCAATATAGTCATGTAAGATCTTGTTGTAAAGATTTAATTGTAACGAACACAATGGTGTAATCGGATTGTATATCGGACAAGTAATTTTGGAGAAAATTTTATAAGAAGGGAAAAAAGAAATGCATGTCTATATAGATGCGTAGGCGTTTGTTCTGTTGTCTCCCGTATAGTTGTGTAGGCTTTCTCTGCTATGTACGTAGGCTTTCTATACCGTCTCCCGTTAAGACTAAACAGAGAGGCCTCTCTGTTTAGATTTTACCTTATTTTTTACTCGTCCGTGCGATCCATCCCGGTTTTTCTTTCCCATGCGGTTTTTTTTGCCCGGTTTTTTCCATCTGATTGTTTTTCTTTTACGCGGTTTTTTTCTGTTTTTTTTTGTCCGAATTTTTTATGGGACCATTCGGTTTTTTTTCGACACGCCGGTTCTTTAGTGTGTCCGTCTGGAATTATATACAAAGTCCAACATAAGAATTACATGCTGAGTCCAAATATTGGAATTACATGACCAAATAGGATATAAATAACTTCTCAGCCTATATAGAAAAATTGAAAGCACAAACAAAACTCATACTTGCACCAGAATTTGGTGTGGATACTGAGCAATCTCTCTCTCAACGCTACTCATACATGCACCTAGATTTTTTTTTTTTTGAAACTGAGCAATTCATGTTCAACGTGAGACTTCAATATGCGTTTAGTACATTTATGATGACATAAGGTAATTCTTTAGCCATTAATGGAATATACATTACTTGTGGCATATAGTGAACAATTAGCACAAATCAGTCAATCTTAGAGGGAAAATATACATGGAAACAAAACTACCAAGCTTAGCAAGGAAATTATCATAGCAACTCTAAAATGTTGAAATCAAATCTCTGCAAGCAATTTATTGAACCTGTCCACATCATCATCCTCGTAACTGCAACACAACAAGAAGGCAACCTAGCTATTCACTGGAATCCTAATACACCAAAATAACTTCGTTGAATATCAAACACCAGCATAAACATCTATGCTGGATTTTTCACAATTTGGTCCTTTTAAAAAACTTATTTTGCAAATAGACCCTGAAAAAACTTATCCCAAAATGGTCCTTTTTGGAGCGCCAGAGCCGCTGACGCCATCATCCAACGTGACGGCGCTAGCCACTCTGGCACAGTCCTACTACGGTGGCGGGGCGGCGCTGAGGTGGCAGGGGGAGCGCGCCAGAGTGGCTTGCGCCCCCCCCTCCCCGATTTTTTTTCTTTTTTTTGATATTTTTTCACTCTTAGGAACACACAAGAACCAACCATAGAAAGAATGAATTCAAATAGACGAAATATGTGACTCGTAGAATTTTTCCTCTCCTCTCCTCTCTAGTGTAGTGGAGAGAGATGTGAACCTTTTTTATTTTATTTTATTTTATTGATATTTTTTCACATTTAGGAACCCACAAGAACCAACCATAAAAAAATAAACTCAAACGGACGAAATATGTAACCTGTAGAATTTTTCAAAACTCTACCGAAATGCTTCTCGGCTCGAAAACAGAATCTTGCAAGCAGAATTTGGATATTCTAATATCGCCGAACTTGGCAAAGCCATAGAAAATTCGATGTAACTTTTTCTGTAGATGTTCGTGGATATATTATTTGCCTGATTCTGAGTCCATATGAGAAAGTTACGTCTGTTTTAAGAAATGACACCCGAATGTAAAAAAAAACTCAAACTCTAACTTTTTTTGGTTTATTTTTTTGTTTATAGGACGTAAAAGATGTAAAATAAATCTACAAGTTTTATTGTTGATTTTAACACAAAAATTTGGTGTGAATTAACACAAAATTATTGTTGATTTTATATTGGAGATTTGTTAACACAAGATCTTATAAACTTATCCAACAAACTTATAAACTTAGCTCTATTCTTATCCAACAAAACGATGTGTTCTATTTTATTTATATGATTTTAGCTATAAGGTAAGCTAAAGTGTTTGCATAAAATATCTATCATGATTCGTCCGTTCGAGAAACAGGATTAGTGGCGAGGTGTGTGTGTGGGGGGGGGGGGGGGCGGCGCTAGCTCCCTCCTCTTGGGGGCGGCGCCAGCATGCTGGCGCCCTCCTCCTGCCACGTCGGTATGTGCGTGCCACAGTGGTGAGGGACGGCGCCAATCATCCTGGCACTGTCCCGTTGGACCATGGCGCCAACCATTCTGGCGCCCCAAAAGAACCATTTCTGAGATAAGTTTTTCTAGTAGTCTATTTGCGAAATAAGTTTTCAAAAAGGACCAAATTGTAAAAAATTCTGAACATCTATGTCACCATTTCTCCTTAATCTCTTGCACCCTATAAGTATTCGATCAAGAGAATCGACACCTTTGATTGTTGTGTGCTCCACGGGTTGTAGGGTTGGGCAGCCGGTGGTGATAGCTCTATCCGTCCTTCGTAATCCTCCATATTCGGGTACATCATACAGTTGTAGGCCGGAGTGCAGACTAGGGGTAAGCCGGTGCCCGAAGCTACAGTGGTATATGTGCGCTTGTAGATAATTTTGTGCTCTAAAAAATAACAATAGTAAATATCTCAGTGTCGGAGTAGGCTTAGATGTTACACTAATTTTATGGACTTTTCATGAAGTAATGGAGAGTATATGAAATTCAAATGACCTTTGAATTTGAAGATGGAAATTAGAAATTTTAGTCAAATTTAGGGAGAATTAAAATCGAGCCCTAGCATCGGAGCGTACAGAATATTTGGTAGATGGGAAGGATTTAAAGTTAGAAAACATCTTTCTTAGCAGAAAAGCAATCTGAAGAATATTATAAAAGGATTCTTGTGCTATAGTAAAGGGATTTGATCCAAAAGGATTTTGATCACTAGAAAGTAGAGAGGCGTTTAAAGAATAATTTTGAGGAGATGGAATATAAAGGATTTGGGATTTAATGCTAGCGATCGAATGTGGGATTCTTGGACCTTATTTGAGAAAATATAAATTCGAATACAATTTAAATTGAAGAAAGGTCATGGTTTGACAATTAGGATTAGTTTTATAGGGGCTTTTTCTATAAATTGATGGAAATATGAAAAAGGTTCAAAATACAGAAATTCAACTCAAGTAATATCCAAAGTAACTACCAAATTTTTTTCAATTAAATAGCAAGGAATTTCTGAAAATTAACTTTGTACTCCCTCCATCAAAAAAAACTAACCTACGTGGGGATGTAACCCCTCGAGGATGAATCTGGACAGAGGTCTTATGCCATCATCTAATCTTTGTATGCGTACAGGCTGACCAATAATACCCGATCGTATTAATCGATCATTAATGGGTTGTGTAAACAGAATAATCACGCGTACGACTGCATCCACACACGGCTTGCCGATCGCCTCCATGGTCGATCCTTGGTGGCTGAGGTGCCTCTTTTTGTAAGTATAGTAGAAGAGGAAATTAACTACATGTCGAAACAAGATTTCGGCAATACTACAAGGGATGGCTATCAA